GAAAGCAGGGTGTCCTCTCTGAGCACGACAGTAATCTTCTGCTTCCTGAAAGCTGCAATGAAACCTGTTAAGCTGATAACAATTATGTTCTCCATGTTGCTCTGGGCTATCCAGCTCATTTCCTAGAACGATACCTGTTGTGATGTATAACCAAAGCCAGGTTCTTCCTTTGAAGAACATTTTCTCTGTGCACTGTGCACATGAGAAGTGTAGAGGCTCACACAGCTACTGAAGCCCGCGCGCCTAGAGCCCGTGCTCCGCGGGAGAAGCCGCCGCAATGAGAAGCCCGCGCACCGCAAAGAAGAGTAGCCCCTGCTCGCCGCAACTAGAGAAAGCCCACGCGCAGCAACGAAGGCCCAACGCAGCCAAAAATAAAAAATAAAATAAAATAAATTTTAAAAAACGTGTTGGGGCTCAGCAGCTGCCTGGTCCTTTAAATACATTCTTGGTGGGTTTATCTTATTAGTATTATTCTTTTAGAAATTGGTAATAATTTGTCAAGGAGACAAAAGGTTTTAAGGACCCAGGTGGACTTCCTATAAGCTGAAAACAAATGCCAGAGATCAATAAAGCAATGGGCCTTCACAGCTAGGGTAGCACCACCTGTGTCTACACAACCGGCTATACCTTTAACTTTATAATAGATCTTTATTTGCTAAGTCTAAGCTGTAAGGGGATAGAGGACGATGAATATCTAAGTCAGTGTTGCTAAAAATTTAGTAATGTATTTTTTTTTTAAAGAAAACCATTCTTGCAGACCCCCTACGATGGATTTAAATTATCGTATTGTTTCTTAAATACATTTATACACAAAACTAGGCGTAATCTCTCTCCTAAAGCTCTTACATAATCATAAAAGCCAAAGAATAAATATTTGATGAAAGAATGAATAGAAATTAAATATAAACAAAACTGAAAACCAATGAAATTCAAATTTTGCCGAACTAAATAGCCACTTAGCAGATAAACACAGCTCTGGCCTACGACTGCACAGGTTCTTTTGATTTTGTCATTCACGCTACTTCGTACTGTAGGGAAGAATCAATTCTCTCACCACTTTTCTTTAATTAATTTGCTGAAAACCTTTGTCCAGGGCTTCCCTGGTGGCGCAGTGGTTAAGAATCCGCCTGCCAGTATAGGGGAAATGGGTTCGAGCCTTGGTCCGGGAAAATCCCACATGCCGCGGAGCAACTAAGCCCGTGCACCACAACTACTCAGCCTGCGCTTTAGAGCTCACGAGCCACAACTACTGAAACCTGCGCGCCTAGAGTTCGTGCTCCGCAACGAGAAGCCACCGCAATGAGAAGACCGTGCACCACAACGAAGAGTAGCCCCCGCTCACAGCAACTAGAGAAAGCCCGCATGCAGCAACGAAGACCCAACGTAGCCAAAAATAAATAAATAAAATAAATAACCTCTGTTCATAGAAGCATGTCATTTGATCTTCACCTGTAGCACATCCATCATCTATATTTTAGCCAGTTCTCTTTCTTGGCACCAAAATGAGATCACAAATACAAATAAATGTGGGCACTGAAATTGCCTAGCAGCTTTCAGGGTTCAGTTGGTTATCCAAATGGTCCAAATGATGCTTACATTACTTTAAAAAAATCATTGTGGAAGTGGACACCAAAATCAAAAATCCTCTGAAGTGTAAACCCCAAGAACACATCCCTCAGTTTGAAAACCAATGCAATAAACAACTGGTACGATGAAATATAGTATGGTCCCTACTTTCAAACAGTTTACAGTCTAATTAGGGGAGAAAAGACGTAACAAGTGTAGTTAATAAAGTTCCACTACAGAGGTATAGCTTAAATTTGTGAAGGTTCAGATGAAGATGTATTTCCAGCACTTGAACACATAAGGGTGTCCATGTCTAGGAAAACGGAACAGGCATCTTGGCAGAAGCGTCCACGAGAGTAAATGCATGGAGGTGAGACAGTGGAAGGCATTTATACAGAGAAAGAAATAATGCTCTCTTTGTGGGGGGGCTAGAGGGACAGTAGTGGGAACTGAAACTAGAAAACTGAATTGTTTCAAACGCCAAGAAAATAAGAGTTTGCAATTTGGGGGGAAGATTTCTGAGCAGAGGAGTCCAAGTCTGGGCTGCAATGGAACAGTTTGGGTGCAGGACACTTTCACTTTTCGAAGTTCACAGTCTTAATTTCCCAATATCCTTACAAACATACATACATATGTTTTAGGCATTTTAAAAAGGTGAAACCTGATGCTCAAGGAATCTTCTTTTAAAGTCAACTCAGGTATCTTACACAGCGCTGTAAATCATTTCGACCCTTTTTAGTGCCCGGTATATATTCAACCCATGCTTTATCTAAAGCACAAACACTATCAATAGCACGTTTAACTTAAATGACAAAAAAACTGGTGAGTGTGGCTTAGAATCGAAGAATCAACATACAGTTAGTCTTCTCTCCAGATTGCAGGATGCAGGAAAGCTCTGCGAAGCGACCCAACCAGATTCGGCTGAGCCTCCGCAAAGCGCAGCGAAGACGCCAGGAGGCGGGCGGGCGGGCGGGCGAGCACACGGCGATTGCGCCCGCGCGTGAGCACCCAACCAGGCTCTCGGAGCTGAGCGGGGCTTTTCCCTCCGCGGAGGGGGCCCCGCCCCACCCTCTTGCCCAGCGATTGGTGAGTCGGCAGCTGGAGGGGCGGAGACTAGAGGAGTCACCGCCATCTTCTCCAATGGAAACGAGACAGAGGCGGGCCCAGTGGCGGAAAGGAGCATGGCGTGGAGACAGCTCAAAGTGAGTTCAGCTGGTGCGGCCCTGCAGCGGCGAAGAGAGAACTTGCGGGAAGGCAGGCGGGGGGAGGATGGAGGGAAGGCTAGCCTGGGCGAGGTGTGGACGGGAGGCGGCTCCGAGAGGGTGGGCCTCTTTGGCACGTTTGTGTGTCTTTGGGGACACCTGCAAATGATCATGTGTGTGCATTTACACATGTACGTGGTCACTGTGTAAACGGACGTGTAAACGGAGTAGATGCCGATCTGTGTCAGCGCACGTGGGCCTTTATTGAGCCAGGCACAGGGCGCTTAGCGAACACAGGATCGCCTAGCAGTGTGTGCAGCATCCAACCTGGAATGAAATTACAGTAAAACATGGTGCCAACCCTTTTAGATAAAAGTTTAGGGCAGGGTCTTTGTAACGGCGCTCAGAAATCTGTTGATCAACATAAGGGGCGTTCCTACAGTCTCCTGGAGGAGAAGGGAGAAAAATGAATGCTAGATCTATGTTGACGGCTAGGAGTGACCCTAAAGGCAAATCCGATCAGGTCACTTCCTTGTTCAGGGAACGAAACTCAAATCACCTGGGTGCATCTCATTCTCCTCTGCCGCCAAGAGTGGAGAGCGCATTTACACCGCCCCGCCCTGCCGCCTAATTAACTTCTATTTATCCTTTGAATATCAGCTTTAAGGCACTTGGTCAAGGAAGCCTTTCTCTACCTCTTTGATTGTTAGGTTCTTCTCTCACTTTTTTCTTCATAGCTTTGTCATAGTTATATGTTTGCATGATCATTGATTTCTGTCTCCTTCTGAGGTTGTACTCCTTGTAAGGGCAGGGACTCGGTCTGTAGCCCATCCTTGAGTGCACAGTCACTATGTGCTGAATGATTGAATGAATGAATGAGTGAGGGACTCAGCATTGGGCAGTGATAATTAGAGAAAAGTATTATGAGCGATGTTTGAGCTTGATCCAAGAAGACCTGATGCTCTCTAGAGAACAGACCTGTGGTTGCCAAGGGGGTGGGGGTGGGGGAGGGAAAGATTGGGAGTTTGGGACTAGCAGATGCAAACTATTATATGTAGAATGGATAGACAGCAAGGTCCTGCCGTATAGCACAGGGAACTATATTCAATATCCTGTGATAAACCATAATGGAAAAGAATATGAAAAAGAATATATACATGTATAACTGAATCATTTTGCTGTACAGCAGAAATTAACACATTGTAAATCAATGATACTTTAATAAAATTTTAAAAAAAGACCTGATGCTCCTTTAAAAAAATTTTTTTGCAACCCTCTTTATTATCCTGAAGTGGAATTTATGTATAATGTAATCTTTCTATATATAATTTTAAAAAGTCAACATAATGTCCTAACTGGAATATAAAGGAGAAGTAAATTTATAATAAAATAATATGTATTTCAACCCATAAATATTAGGGCATGAGTCACCTAGATAGTGAGTCAGGTGTTTAAGCCTCTACTTAGAAATTCTAGTGCCACAGGAATGTTTTATTGTCAAACATCTAAGCAAAGCACTGAACCATTCCACATGGATTTTCTGAAACGGTGAGTGATTCTTGGTAATGTTCTGTGCAAAACAGTATAGTCATCCCTCAATCTACAAGGTAATTGCATTCCTGGAAAGTCAATACAGATGAAAACCACACAGGAGATTGTGTTTATGTGGGGAAACAGAGTTTGCATTTCTAGGCTCAGATAATATGAACAGATATTTTTACCTAGTGAATGTCAGTAGGATGTTCAAAAGTCACACACGATAGGGACCGTTCTGACTTTACTGACTTCCTGCTCACTAAATCTATTAACATTCTCCTCCGGGTGCCCACCACATGCCCCTAGGGGGCAATACTGCCTCTCTTAAAGTTTTTTAAAAAAGTTTAATTTATTTATTTTTGGCTGCGTTGGGTCTTCGTTGCTGCACGCGGGTTTTCTCTAGTTGCGGCAGGTGGGGGCTACTCTTCGTTGCAGTGCGCGGGCTTCTCATTGCGGTGGCTTCTTGTTGCAGGGCACGGGCTCTAGGTGTGCGGGCTTCAGTAGTTATGGCGCACGGGCTTAGTTGCTCCGCGACATGTGGGATCTTCCCGCACCAGGGATTGAACCCATGTCCCCTGTATTGGCAGGTGGATTCTTAACCACTGCGCCACCAGGGAAGCCTTGCCCCTCTTGAAATCCCTGGCCTGGAGTCCTTCAGGGCTAGAGGAGGGCGTGTCAGCAGAAGTGCAGATACAGCCTCTGACTGTAGAGGCAATACGTGAGCAAGAACCCAAGGAGACCAGCGTTAGCAGAAGGCCACGGACATCACTGCATGTTATGTCCTCTGTGTGTGTGTAAGTAGTGTAAAGGGTTCAGAGAAGGTGCTACAGCCTAGCCTTGAGGGGGCCCCATTGGCTCTTTTTTCCAGAAGCGGGCCCAGGATGCCATGGTGATCCTGGGGGGCGGAGGACTTCTCTTCGCCTCCTACTTGACGGCCACGGGGGATGAACGTTTCTACGCGGACCACTTGATGCCGGCTCTGCAGGGGCTGCTGAACCCCGAGGCAGCCCACAGGCTGGCTGTTCACGTCACCTCCCTGGGGCTCCTTCCTCGTGCCACGTTTCAAGACTCTGACATGCTGGTAGGTACTCCTGTAACACCTTGTGCGATAGACACGAGGGTCAAGGTCAAAGTTCCCCAATTTATTTAGCTGGGGCTGATCCTTTTGAAAACCAGAGTCCCAAATTAGCCTCCCACCCCAAACCGTCATCCCCATCTACAGATCAGGAACGCTAAAGTGCACAGTAGTTAAGTGACTTACCCAAATGCACACAGCTAGGAAGTGGCTGAGCCAGGAATCAAACCCATGGAGTCTGGCTCAGCATCCGTCCGTTAGCCGCCATCCTGCCTCGCGGAGGTCTCGGGTAGCTCAGTGTTCAGCTCTGCTGAAAAGGGAAGCATGCCAGCATCACTAACATCTAATGTGATGTAGGCATGTCTAGCCAAGCCCTTTGAGGAAAGCATACGACTCCTGTCCCAGCCTCATTCCGTCCTGCATTCAACACAGGGGCCCCACCGTATCCCCTTACTCTTCTGTGTGCTGGGGTTTCTGCAGCGAACAAAGTGCAAGAATCCACGTCCTCCTAGAATCTACATCCTCGTGCAAGCCCAGACAGTTTCCATTTAGGAGACTTCTTACCAAATGGGGAACATTAGAATGATGTGAACATGAAGAAAACACACTCAGACCTCTTTGGGGAAGGGTCACTGTTAGCAATCAAAGGGGCATTCTGTACATTTTCCCTTTTTGTCTTAGAATCCCTTTCACTTCCCATCCTGCAGTTTTGAGCACACGTGGCACCTTTTCTGTAAAAGTGAAAATCCTCTTTGGATTCCTGTTGGTTAGAGAAAACAGGTACAAATGTAGGTCTTTCGTAAAAGCAAAGAGAGATAAAGAGAACTTCGGAAAAGTGGGGGAGACCTGTACGCAGATGCTCTGGTTTGGTGCCAGCCCCATTTGACGGTCATCTCTGGGCCTGAGGACTGAAGGCTGCCCAGGGAGCCTGTTGAGCAGCCGGGGCCGAGAGACCCGTCCTGAAGCATGGCCCCCAGGGCCCCCAGTGTGGCCACCCTCCCAGCCTCCCAGTCCCCGAGGCACCGCATGCACACACTCACTGCCATCTCTTCTTCCCCTCCGTGGGGCAGCCTTGCTTCCTCCTGCTTCCAAGGCCAGATGGTGCCACCCTTAGAGGTCCTTGCTAGTCCTGGCACAGGCTTTCCTGCCATATCAGCTGACAGTGACGATTCTGTTGGCAACTGCTGACTTTACGATATCCCGATTCCTTTCCCACATTTTAACGTATTTATCTTGCTTCTAGATTTGTTGGCTAGATCAGGGTGCGAATAATAAGTCCCTCAGGAGTTAGGCTAGACTTGACAGTAATTAAGCCCCAGTCACTTTCATCATAGAGAACAATCAGGAATCCGCCCCATGTTTGCCAGGGAAGAACCTGCTTCCAGCCCAGCCTGGTTCTGGGGCCCAGCAATCAGTGCTGCTGGGTCGAGCACTGGAGTCGTGAGGACACAGCTGGGCCTTGGTATCACCTGGCTGAGGAGGGACACAGCGGGCGCTGACTTACTAAGATTAAAGGATTTTGCTGCCTGACTGTTTCAGAATAGCACCATCTAGGGGCTAAATAGTGGATAAGAAGGTACAGTTCTTCACCGTAATTGGAAAAGGCAGCACCTGTCTCCTGCTCAACCCATGGTGGAAACACTGTTTTTCTCCTCAGTGATGATAAAGCCCGATGGTTCTCAAACTCTGGCTGGCATCAGAATCACCTGGAGAGCACTGTTAAAAACAGGTTCCCTCAGAGTTCCATTCTTCCCCACCCTCCCCCAGAGATTCTGATTCCTTAGTCCGGGGATGGGCCCTGGGATCTGCTGTTTAACAAGCAGGTGATTCTGATGTAGGCGTGCCGTGGACCACGCTTTGAGAAACACCAACGTGGCCTTGTGTACCTGTGACTTTGTCTCCTTCTCCCTAGGAAGTGAGAGTCCTGGGCCATAAATTCCGAAATCCAGTAGGAATCGCTGCAGGATTTGACAAGCACGGGGAAGCTGTGGATGGACTTTACAAGATGGGCTTTGGTTTTGTTGAGATAGGCAGTGTTACCCCAAAACCTCAGGAAGGAAACCCCAGGCCCAGGGTCTTCCGCCTCCCTGAGGACCAAGCTGTCATTAACAGGTAGGTGAGCAGCCTTCTCCCCAGCAGGACACTCGGGGTGTTTTTTCTGCCATACAGTGTGGACATTTTTCTGTCATTTGGAATGTTCTGGAACCATGTTGAGCATCTACTCTGTGCGGGCGTAAAAGCAGGTTTTATGATTTCAGTTTAACGCGTATACACGATGAGGTTAAGAGAGCTACACGACTTAGCTACAGTCATGAGATCAGAAGCAGGAGAACTTGGGAATGGATGTTGGCTTATCTGACTTTAGAGTTTGTGCTTTTTCCACATTGTTACTCCAGTGTCCTTGCCCAGCTCTGTCCAGTAGAAATATCATATGAGCCCTATATGTAATTTAAAATATTCTGGTAGCCACAATAAAATAGCAAAAAGAAACAGGTGCAATTAACTTTAATAATATATTCTATTTAATTATTATTTGTAACAGTTATTTATTATACTGCTTAATTAGAAATACTTAATATACTCTATCATAATTTTAATATTAAGCAATATAAAAATGACTGGCTGTTTACCTTCTTCCACTTGTACCAAGTCTTCGAAATCCAGCATGTTTTCCTTACGGCACTCTTGCTTTGGACTGGCCGGGCTTCGCTCTCAGTGGCCACACATGGCTAGTGGCTCTTGCACCTGACAGCACAGCTCCAGCCTTTAGTAACTGGGAAATTTAATAATCAACATAGACGGCTGCTTTTAGGAAGAGAGGTCCTTCTAGACTGTGTAAAGCCCTTCTCTTTGTAAGCCCTGGGCAGTTTTCACTACAGCTAACCCAGAGAGTGAAAAAGTTCCTTCTTTTTGGTAACAGAGTTTTGAGAGCCTCGTTGGGGGTGTTTGGTAGGCACCTTTGGGATAATGAAGGGCCTCCTGGGAGACTGACGTGTGGAAGGTTTATTTGGCTGCACGTCCTGCTTCATCGTGCTTGTTTCGGGGAAAATTTCCAGCATTAGACATCGAGTTATTGACCTTTCCCCTGTAGGCTGGGATCAATATCTTCAGAGTGTTCGGGCAAAAGATATTTGTTGATGATTCGGCTGCCACAAATAACTGCAGGTACCAGGAAGACAGTGCCTGGCAGAGTCCCGCGGGTGAGAAGTGGCACAAGAGGGCCGGGCCTGAGCTCCAAGCACTTGTGTGCCCAGGCTCCCTGCTCTGCCTCGCACAGGGTGGGTGCTGAATGAACATGAGTCAACAACTACATGTATCTGTTAGGTGTTTTTGGCTGCAAGTAACAAAGTGGCTTAAACAATAGGCGTTTGTTATTATTTTCTTCTCATAACAGGTGAAGTAGGCAGTTTTACGGTTGGTTGAGTGGCAGGGTTCTGCCCTCAACGCCTGGTTGAGCCCAGGCGTCAGTACTCTGGTCCAACCTCTGTGGGCCTTCCCTTCTCGTTTGTAAGATGCCTACCCCAGCTGCAAGCATACGTCCTCGCATGAGGACATCAGAGAGCAGAAAGGGAAAGGAAGTATGGATATGGGGGGAGATATTTTCCCAGAAGCTCCCTGGTAGGCATCACCTTGTGTCTCAGTGACCAAGCCCCGTCTCAAGTTCATGCTTGAGTTGCCAGCGAGGCTGGGAAAGGAGTCATTGGCATTTTCACCCCGTGTCAGGGGAGCTGGGTTCCACAGGCAAGGAGGAAGGGAGTGGGGATGGCCATTAGGCCAACAACCCACAGTGGGGCTGGGGACGTAGAGATGAGCAAGAGGGGCGAGGCCCAGCCTTTGCGGAGTGTCTAGTGGCAGGTGAGGGAGGAGATGTGTCCCTTGTCCTCGAGAAGACTGGAACCCAGTAGGGGAACTGAAGCATATACGTACATCTCAAGCTAGGAGAAAGATAGGTACAAAGCACTCCATGAATGCCAGGAGGTGAGGGATCATTTGTGGCTGGGAGCTTTATGCAAGGAGGAGAGGGTGCATTTGACTTGGGCCAGGAAGAGGGAGATTTAATAGGTAGAAAGGATGGGGGAATGGAGTGGCAGGATGGGTTCCAGGAAGCGTGTTCGTGGGGCACAGGCAGGAGGTGGGAGGATGGGTCATCAGAGTGGTGAGGGCCCCGGTGGGTGGGAAGCAGGAGTGGGCTAGGTCCAGACAGGTCTGGGCTGTTTACAGTGCTAGTTGGCTAAGTGGCTTGTTGGCAAATTTTAATCTTTCCCTTTGTATTTGATGGTGTTTTGGCAAGTTCTCTAGGACTTCCAGGGGTGTTTAGACTTTAGAAGTCTAAGAACTGACTCTGATTTTTTTCTTTGGTTTTTACATCATAAATATATGTTGAAAATGGCCATGGAGCCATCCCTCCAGAGTCTTTGCTTTCTGCCTGAGGGCTGTAACCTTATCTCCTCCCTAACGCTCTTCTGTGCTACAGATACGGATTCAACAGTCATGGACTCTCAGTGGTGGAACACAGGTTACGGGCCAGACAGCAGACGCAGGCCAGGCTCACAGAAGGTAAAGGGGGCCTGCCTAAGAGGGCTGTTCTTCAGTTGTTGGAAGGAAACTTGTGGGAGAAAGTCAGGAACATTCCTAGTGAAATGAACATGATTGAACAATAGGAAAAAACAGTATGGAACTCAGGGCTCCTCTGCTAGAGGAATTTTCCTGGCTCCATCACACCCTCCAAGCTCTTAACTGAATTTCACAACTGAGCAAAGATACACTTAGTTCCTGCCTCGTTATGTAACCTGTGTCAAACTGGGACAGCTTGGAAGTAAGCAGTGCAGAGTGGCTGCTCTGTGATCACATAGGCAGTTGATGCGAGCAGGGCTTGGGTGCCATCTTTGTACATCCTGCTCTGTTGTCCTTTTTCTCCATTATAAATAATGAATGCTGATTATAGAAGTGTTAGTAAATGCAGGGAAGCATAAAGAAGAACATTAAAATTACTCACACTCTTCCCTACTCAGAGATAACTACTCCCGGCATTGGGGAAAATATCCTTCATGACTTATTTGGAAACACCATGCATTTTTTTTTAATGCATTAATTTATTTTTGTCTGCATTGGGTTTTTGTTGCTGCACTAGGGCTTTCCCTAGTTGCAGCGAGCAGGGGCTACTCTTCGTTGCATTGCATGGGTTTCTCATTAAAGTGGCTTCTCTTGTTGCGGAGCACCGGCTCTAGCACGTGGGCTTCAGTAGGTACAGCACGCGGGCTCAGAAGTCGTGGCGCAGGGGCTTAGTTGCTCTGCGGCATGTGGGATCTTCCTGGACCAGGGCTCGAACCGGTGTCCCCTGCATTAGCAAGCGGATTCTTAACCACTGCGCCACCAGGGAAGCCCACACCATGCACTTCTGAAGGCTGCCTTGGAGGTGCTGATACTCATTCCCTGGGGCTCTCTGCCTTGCTGTCCCTTGGGGTGAACATAGTGGTCTTGGCACCATGCCATCCTCACTGTACCTTCCCAGGTGCCCTCGGGTTGCATGGGGTTGCGGCCATCTTCCTTGGTGGGCCTTTCTGGAACTCCTTCCAGGAGTTTAGCCTCATTAGATGTCCTGGTGGTGAGATGAGAAAAACCTGCGGTATTGGATTCATTTCTGAACGCGAGATTGAAAGGGCCGAGGCAGTTAGCAATCTCTGATTTGGGGAGTAGGAAATGACCTTGTTTGGAATTCCCTGGCTCTGGCAGAACCAGACCCTGCTATACTGTAGATAGACCTTGCCACTTGTGGGCTTTGAAGGTCATGATAGGACTTTCATGGTTTGTGATACTCTCCTGCCTTCTTGTCTCCCTTTCCTTCTTTTAACTGTTCACAGTGCCCCTTATACCACTTTTCTCCCCTGTTCTCCCTTGCCCATTCCTCGCCCCCCACTGTGGTGCTAACATTTGTTGCAGTGAGACAAAATCCCACAGCAGAGCTCTGCACATAGTGTTCACCGGCAGCTAGAAGCCTTGAAGACAGCTTATTGCTAGCATCATACCAAGCAACATGAGTTGTTAAGAGCTGTGGTGCCCTTTGCGGATAGAGTAATTCAGCAATTTTTGTCTAACTCCAAAATCTTGTCATTTGGGGCAAATGACTACTAATGAAAGATCCACTGGCTACATGAAAGTGATATTCTCTATTAAGCCGGTTTACCTGTGTGGAAAAGAATTACAGTTTCCAAACCATCTTCACTTGATTTGGGAGGCTTGGAGACCTTGTTATATAATTTGTCTAACTGGATGCTAAACCCCTCCCCTCCCTTCCACCCATGAAGTGAGTGACACGAATCTCATTTACTTTCAAGTTGATGATAAAACAGGTGACTGCATTTAAGGTATGAGAAGGTAGTTAGCAGTACTGGATGTTGTTCTTTGATCCTCCCTGACCTGACATATATTTTGTGAGCTAACTGGACGTCCCAGTTAGCTGGAAAAAGCAGGTGGTACCATGGATATACTTTAGCCTTTGCAGATAAGGTAGTATCTTAGGAGAAGTCAAGTACAGACAAGCCCTTGCTTTCACACATAGAAAAATACATTTCAGAAACACACTGAAAGTCGAAAATACAAGTCAGGTGATAATTCCCTGGATTTTAAAGTAAGGTGACCATATTACTTACTGTGCAAACTGAGACAACACTTTTGAGAGTGGAAGGAATGCAGGCATGAATAATTATGCCCAGGCTACAGGAGTATTCAGGGCTGTCCTGGGAGCACTGGGATGTGTGGTCACCCTAGTTACAAGGGGGAGTCCCTTCTCAGAGAATGGAAATTATAAAACCGTTATGCCTCTACATTTTAGGCATGAGATTCGAAAATACTTTCCAGTATTTTATACATATCCTTTAATTTTGCTTTTTCTTCACGACTGCACACCCAGTCACGTGACCCAAGTCTAACAAGCAGCCCTTGAGGGTAAACAGCTGCCCCGTGGCATGCTACTGACTTCTGTCTCTTCTCAGTCGTATTTCATTTACGAGCCCTACCTTTTTAAACACTAGTATTTGCGCTCCTAATTTCTCCATTTTCCATTAAATTTTAAAAAAGAAAAAGGGCACAATGCGGTATAACATCCTAGGAGCTGCCCAAACCCAGCTGCGCAGGAAGGTGGAGGGCTCGGTTCTTGGCCCGCAGGCAACAGCGCCGTGCATAGGTCAGCGTTTGTCAGCTGGCGCGGGAAAGGTCACATTTGGAGTTGGAAAGCCTGTGAGGCTGTTTGTGGGCTCTTCGGTCAAGGATGGCTTCAAAATGTTGCACAGGAAACCGTGAGTGGGGACAAAATCCTGACCAGTGATATTTACAGATGGGCTGCCACTGGGAATAAACCTGGGGAAGAATAAGACCTCGGTGGACGCTGCCTCGGACTACGCAGAGGGGGTTCGAGTCCTGGGCCCCTTGGCTGACTACCTGGTAGTGAATGTGTCCAGTCCCAACACAGCTGGGCTGAGGAGCCTTCAGGGAAAGGCCGAGCTGCGCCGCCTGCTGACCAAGGTGGGCAATTACATCCCGCTCCACCAGCCTGTCCTACCTGCTCATCCTCTAGGGCAAAGCTTCAACGTTGCTATCCACTATCGAGGAGTTGTCCTTAAGACCTGGACCAGTTAGGATCCCTTGCTTCCCTCTGATTCCCTATATAACACTGATTGTGCTCAGTATTAGTCAGCTGCTCAGTAATCTATCCCTGCTGTTAACCCACAGGGTCCGTGAGAGCAGGGACCACATCTCTCATTTACCACCCTGTCCCTAGCGTCTAGCACATTGAATGAATGAATAGAATGACTTTTCATTAAACCGTGCTTGTGACAGTATTTGCTGTCTCTTTTAGGAACAAAAGTCTAAATAAACCTTGATATATTAGCCAATGCCAATGACATTAGGGACTCACTCTTGGGCATCCCTTGGTTCAAGAGAGTGGAATCAGCTCTGACTTGGTGGGGTCTTTTGCATAATTGAGAGCAGTGTTTCCTGAAAAGGAGAAATTGCTGGTGCTTTATTCTGACAGCTAGTGTGAAAACACACTGGTCTGCGGCTGCAGGTCACGGTTATACTGTCAACTGCAGTCTTGGGGGTCCTCATCTCTGGCCCCATGTTGCTCTAGGTGCTGCAGGAGAGGGATGCCCTGAAGGTAGTGCACAAGCCAGCCGTGCTGGTGAAGATCGCTCCTGACCTCACGGCCCAGGACAAGGAGGATATTGCCAGTGTGGTGAGAGAGGTGAGGGTCGGTGCCTGGGGGACGCCCTTCATTGCCTGTAGAGGCCACCTGGCCAGCTGGGTTAGCCCAGACGGCAGTCTTTGTGGTTTCCTTTCTGTTATATGGAGGGCTGTCAGGATGTAATTTATCGTATACAGGCAGACCTTGGAGATATTGTGGGTTCAGTTCCAGACCACTGCAATAAAGCAAGTCACATGAACTTTTTGGTTTCCCAGTGCACATAAGTTATGTTTACACTACTGTAGTCTGTTCAGTGCACAATAGCATTACATCTAAAAAAAATGTACATACCTTAATTAAAAAATACTTTATTCTTATTTTCTGTTTTATTAAAACATTTGAGGTGTAATAATCCAGATTAAAAAAAAAACTTTATTGCTGAAAATATGCTCACCATCATCTGACAGTGCAGGGTTGCCAGAAACTTGTAAAAAAAACCAGTACCTGTGAAGCACAATAAAGTGAAGTGCAATAAAATGAGGCAATGCCTGGAATAGAAAGTAAACGTTTCAATAAATGTTTGAATGGGTCCTTTTCTCCTGCCTCTTCCCTCCTCTTCCCTCATCTTCCTTCAGCAAGGGCTTTAAGGCTGTGCATCCTTCAGTCTTGGTCAGACTGCAGTGTTCTGTCTTTCTCCAGTCTAACCCTGGGTCTCTGTGTCATAGGGGAGTAGCGCAAACACAGACTGAGCCCGGCAGTCCGGGGTTGAAATCCTGATTCCACCACTTACTACCTGGAGGCTTTGGACAGGACACTCTAGATTGAGTTGTTCTAAGGATTAAACCGTGTCCTGGGGGAACCGTACGGGTGGCTGGTACATGATGGCTGCTACTATCATGTTGAGGCTCACTCTGACACTTGCCCAGAAAGCATAGTGAGTGAGGCCTGGTCTAGCTCTTGCTTCTGTGGCCTTAGGTGTAGGCGCCCAGCCCGGCTGCTCTCTCAGACCCCCGGGGAAGCTTCTCCAAGTCCATCGTGCCCTGACTTAGGGACTCTTTCTCTGTCTCACACTGCAGTTGGGCATCGATGGACTGATTGTCACGAATACCACAGTGAGTCGCCCTGCCAGCCTCCAGGGGGCCCTGCGCTCTGAAATGGGAGGGCTGAGCGGGAAGCCCCTCCGAGATTTATCAACGCAAACCATCAGGGAGATGTATGCACTCACCCAAGGCAAGAATTTGGTGTCCCTGTCTTCAGATCTACGTGTGGCTCAGTCGCCGGGTCTGTGATGGTATCGGGGTTCCTGAACTGCCGCACTCAGCAGGGGGCCGGGGCTGCAGCCAAACAGCTTCTGGCTCTCCTGTCACCCAGCCTTCCTCACAGTGTGCTGTGTGCTTCTCTGCAGGCAGAGTTCCCATCATTGGGGTTGGCGGTGTCAGCAGCGGGCAGGACGCGCTGGAGAAGATCCGGGCGGGGGCCTCCCTGGTGCAGCTGTACACAGCCCTCACCTACCGGGGGCCACCCCTGGTGGGCAGAGTCAAGCGGGAGCTGGAGGCCCTTTTGAAGTGAGTGGGGCCACCTGTGGCTTGAACCAGGCAAAGTTAATGTGGTATCAACTCAGACTGACTCAAATCAAGGGGATGCTGTTCATCAGCCTTTATTCTTTATTGAAGATGCATGTGAGGGGCACACCCCAAACGCAGGGGAAACTTACCCTGTTGCGCTTTTGACAAAGGTCAAACAGTGCCAAGGAATTCAAGATTAACTTCCAAGGCAATGGTGTTTATAGGCCCGAGGAGTTCTGGTGGCATTCCTGTTAATTCAGTAACACTGGCTTGATGTCAGGAGCTGTCGGTACTTAAAATTGATTCCTTCCCTGGCCTGAAGACCTGGGTAGATTCCAGGGTTTAGACACTGTACAGGGCATGAGCATGCGTTTGGGAGAGCGAGGCAGGTGCAGTTATGGACGAGATAGAGCCTGGTTGAGTGTGGGCTTCCAGTAAGAGCCAGGCCTTTCCTTTACCATTTGCTGAAATTGCTTTGTTTTCTTTCTCCAGGGAGCAGGGTTTTACCAGAGTCACAGATGCCATTGGAGCAGATCATCGGAGGTGAGGATGGGTCGGTAGGAAGCCTGATCTGGAACCGTCCCGCTAAATCAAGCGAGCCTTTGTGGCTGATGGAGAGAGGAGACCACATCCCCAAACCACAGGGGCCCCTCCACCGGCTGGACTGTAAAAGCCAAGCATGAGGGTCACCAGAAGCAATGCAAGGCTTTGTTCAACCACTTGTTGGACAGGAACTGCATCCATGATTCTTTCTAGATTCAAATCCCAGGATCCTTTAATATTACAAGGACATTAGACATTTGGAGGGAAAATCACGGTAAAATAAAGTCATTTAAAAACTGGATTTAAATCCCAGCCCTCTTGCCCAGATCCTGTAGGTTCTTCCAGGCCTCTGCTCCCCCGGGATCTGTAGTGGGCTTCCCAGGAGCTTGACTCTCTTTCATTCTATCTTTATTTTTATTTAAAATTTTAACTGTATTTTGAAAATATTTCAAACTTAGATAAAAGTTGCAAGAATAGGGCTGTGGATGGCCGTCCTCTCCATGTCTGCACCTGGTCTTCCCTCTGTGCGCAGAGGGACACTGGTCATGCTGGTCATTTTAACTTGATTACTTCTGTAAAGGCCCTGTCTCCAAACAAGGTCACATTTTGAGATACTGCCAGTCTGGATTTTAACATGGCAATTTTGGAGAGACATAGTTCAGAAAATGGGCTTGTTATCCCCCTTATTTAAAAATCTGTGACTTGTGGGCCATTGGGCAGGCAGGTTCTCGAGGTGCTTGAAGACACTAGACAAGAGGCTCAAGAGGTCTAGTCATTAACTAAAGAAACAGAAATGCTAACCTTTTCAAAACTGAAAAGCAAATGGTGATTGGAGGTTGAAAAACCTCGGCTGGGAAGTGCTGTAGATGTCAGTACGCCTTCGCAGCCAACAGGAAATTACCTTTATTCCCTTCACCTCAGTGCAGGTTTGATTTTAAAATTTCTTGGTAGCTCTAGAGAGGCCTGTGGCTGCTGTAGAGGTAATATGTCCTTGTCTCATCGTTGAATCTCGGCCTCAGCCCTCAGCCTCTGCCCACTGCCTCTGCCAAGAAGCCAACAGTCAGTCTCCTGCTGTCTTTTACAAAGATCTTTTTCCTGTCTCTTATAAAAGAATCTTAGGGACTTCCTTCGTGGTGCAGTGGATAAGACTCTGTGCTCCCAATGCAGGGGGCCCAGGTTCGATCCCTGGTCAGGGAACTAGATTCCACATGCATGCTGCAACTAAGAGTTTGCATGCTGCAACTAAGAGTTTGCATGCCACAACTAAGGAGCCCACGTGCCGCAACTAAGGAGCCCACATGCCACAACTAAGGAGCTGGTGAGCCACAACTACAGAGCCCTGGAGCCGCAACTAAGGAGTCCACGTGCAGCAACTAAGACCTAGTGCAACCAAAAATAAATAAATAAATAAATAATAAAAAATAGAGGTAATGATCTCTTAAAAAAAAAGAATCTTAGTATGAAAATAATACCTATTCATGAATTAAACAGTATAGCCCCCAAATAAATGTTGTCTACCTCCTTCCCTCCTCAAACAATCCCACATATCAGAGGTAGTCACAGTTAACTTTTGTATCCATCTAGATTTTTCCAGTCAGTTTTCTTTGTTATATGCAAGCACATACCCATAGCTATTCTGTCTTTTTAAAAAAATCTATCACACACACATATAAAAGTGTTTCAAGAATAGTACAAAGAACTATTTTTTTTTTTTTTTTGGCCACACCGCGTGGCTTGCAGGATCTTAGTGCCCTAACCAGGGATAGAGCTAGGGAGTATACATGTACACATACATCTATATTTCTATATCTCTCTATATTGAAAACCATGAGTTCAGACTGATACCTTCAATTCCAATACCAAACCATAAGTTTAATTCTAGTTTCTTCCCTTCCCATATTTGTAACTCTCTTCTCTGACTGTGGAAACCCTGACTACCTCTATACTTACTCTATTTTCTTATTTGATCAGTCCTCTCATATGTAAGTAATCTCTGGTTTCCACCCCCTGCCATGTGCTGGCATCCTTTTTCCTTGCTTGGGTCCTGACATCTTTCACCATCCCTTACCCCTTGGGCACTGTCCTCACTTTGTACAGCTCCGATACCTGCTCCAGGCTGCTCCCGGGGGCAGACATCCCCCTCACCTCATTTAGGCTCTGACTTCTTTGCTGGCCTGTCTCCCTGCATGGCCACTTTCCTTGTAAGCTAGGACTCTGACGCCCCGCACCAAATGCTTACGCATACACACAATTTGTGGGCGCCCTCTTTGTCCTGTGTGGGTATTGATTGATTTTCTACTTTGAGCCCCTTGCTCCTCTTTTGCTGCCACTGCAGGCACCTACCTTGCTCTGTGCCAGCTAATGGCTTTATGACTGAACTGTTCAGGGAAAGGGGGAAGGAAAGGGGAAGAGTTGCCCTTTGGAAGATTCTCTGTTGGAGACTGACAATCTGTCTTTTAGCACAGCTTTAGCGGGCTGCTGTTTCTCTTGAGCACCCGCGTAAGTAGTTGGCTTGCGTTCAGGGGCCCTGTGGTGTAAGGAGTACCTGTTTTTCTTAACGCTGGAAACTACACTCAGCCCAGAGAAGCTCGATGCTGGGAGACACATGGGAGGAGGCCCAGGTTGCCAATGCCCCGTGAGGCCCAGGACTGTTGGGTGGATTAGTGTGCAGAATTGCTAATATGATTTACATTATTGACTCTTGCATTTTGTGTTGTGTGCATCCCCTGCCAATTTCACATTAGTTAAATAAGTAGTAAGTTAAATCTTATTTCACAACTTGCTTTTTTCCCCCATATAAACATGGAGTCTTTCAATGTCCGTCCCTTCAATCTACCTTGCTCTTTCTAACAGACCTTTGGTTTTCCGCAGCTCAGATATATCAGTATTTGCTTATGGCTAGACGTGTAGGCTGCTTGTTTTTCACATCACAAACAGTACATCAGCGAGTCTCTTGGTTTATGTATCTTTGTGCTCTTCCAGTAAAATTTCTGTGGAATAGATTCCCAGAAATGGTATCGCTCAGGCAAAGGTCATGTGCACTTAAAATGTTGATAGTTACCGCCAGATTGCCATTAGAGGGGGTTGTTCAGTTTATACTTTCTCTACAACTTTGTAAGAGAGGCCCCTTTCCTCTTAGGCTGCTCCACGTGGGAATTTTCAAGAACTGCCCTGGAAAAAACTTGTTCCTTCTCCACCTTCTCACTGGAGATAGTTTCCATTATGTCTCTTCCTTGGTGGAAAAAGAAAAAAGGAATTGTGGGTTTAGCAAGCCACTTCGGGCAGCAGCCAGTGTGATTGCCACATCCATTTGTGTGTGTGTGTGTGTGTGTGTGTGTGTGTGTGTGTGTATCTGGGAGAGAGAGAGAAGAGACTTCAAATAAGACACAGGGGGACTTCCCTGGTGGTCCAGTGGCTAAGACTCCGCACTCCCACTGCAGGGGGCCCGGGTTCGATCCCTGGTCAGGTAACTAGATCCCGCGTGTCGCAACTAAGACCCGACGCAGCTAAATAAATAAATAAATGTAAAAAAAAAAAAAAAACCTGCAGGGAAGGGCAACAGAAGGGGTGTAGCTTTCCCTGGGTTCACCCATTCTCAGTTGTTTCAGGCGACCCTGCTTGTCTTTCCTCCTGCTGTGGGCATCATGTAACTTTTGTGGGCCTCAGTCTCCTAATGTGTAAAATGGGGAGAAGGACAGACCCATCTCAAAGGGCTGTTCTGAGGATTAAATACTAAGGGCAATATGGCTCAGCACATCCTAATCTCTTAATAAACAATATTTTCAATGTTTCTAATCATCAAAAAAGTCCTGCAAATAGGTATTACTGTACTTGTATTCACAGATAAAATGAGGGCTTTGAGAGATTAAATAACCTCCCCAAACCAGGCAGCTGGGAATCAGCGGAACTGGGCCCCAGGGCCTGAGTATCTCCTTCTGATGAAGGTAAAGGTCCTTACAGGACCTCTGACAAGTATTATTAGTCCCTTTTCCCTTCTCTTCTCCCTCAAAAGTTCATCTTCTTTTAACATATAGACTTCCTGTGTGCAATTACTTTTTATAAAAAAGCTTTCTTAGATACTTGCCCTGGGCACTTGATTGGTCTGAAATAAGGTGGTCAAATGGGATCTAGTGATCGAAGCTCAGAGTCCCGTAGAAGTGGGGGACATTCTGTAGGGACCACAGTGCCAGCCAGGGCTGAGCCTGAGGATCCAAAACATAGCAGCTTGAAACAACAATCATTTGCTGTTCCACACAGTGTCAGGTCAGGAATTCAGGAGCAAATTAGTTGGTGGTTCTGGCTCAGGGTCTCCCAGGAGGTTGGCCAGGGCTGCAGTCATCTAAGGCTTCACTGGGGCTGGGGCATCCACTTCTAAGATGGCCTGGGAGCTGGTGCTGGCCGTTGGCAGGAAGGGCTGCCTGAGTGTCCTCATGCCAGGGCACCCAGCTTCTCCCAGAGCCAGTGACCTACAGCAAGGTGGAAGCTCCGATGCCTTTTATGACCTCGTCTTGGTGGTCATACACCATTACTTATGTCACTTTCATTCTCTTCATTAGAATAGAGTTGCCAGTTTTAGTAAAACAAACAAAAACAACGGGATACCCAGTTAAATTTGAATTCCAGATAAACAATGGATATGCTTTTAAGTATAAGTACATCCCATGCAATAGTTGGGACATGCTTATGCAAAAATTTACTTGTTGGGCTTCCCTGGTGGCGCAGTGGTTGAGAGTACACCTGCCGATGCAGGGGACACGGGTTCGTGCCCCGGTTCGGGAAGATCCCACATGCCGCGGAGCGGCTGGGCCCGTGAGCCATGGCCGCTGAGCCTGTGCATCCAGAGCCTGTGCTCCGCAAAGGGGGAGACCACAGGAGGGAGAGCCCCGCGCACAAAAAAAAAAAAAAAAAAAAAAAAAATTGTTGTTTTTCTGAAATCCAAATTTAATTGGGCATAACGTAATTTACCTGGCAACTCTATGTTAGAAGCAAGACACTAAGTCCAGCACACATATCAGTACAAGAGGAGGGAAATTAGTTTCCATTTTTGAAGGGAGGTATGTCTAAAGAATTTGTGGAGATATTTCTAAACCACCATGAGCAGAATTTTGAAAAGTTCATTTGGTCCTGGTGTCTGTGGTAACTGCATGGCAGCCTAATAGGATGAAATAGTTCTCAGACAAGCAAGGTCATCTTCCTAATTATCTTGTACATTGGTAAATTTACAGCAAATCACACACAGTGTCTTCTTTGATCTTCAGACAGCTTTGTGTGAGGTAGAGATTATGATCTGCATTTTACAGATGAGGAAACTGAAGTTAAGTGCCTGCCCCAAGATGATATGGGCAGAAATGGCAGAGGGAGGACAGAGTCTCCTAATTTCAAGTCTAGCACTTGCTCT